AGAAAACAGACAACTGTATGAGTTTAGTGCTACTTAATTGGCAGCACAATAGGAGAGAGAGAGAGAGAGAGAGAGGAGCAGCTAGCCAGCCAAGCACTGGTCATCTCACATAGAAAGACACACAAAAAGAACCAATAACACCAGAATGATGAAGAACAGCATACTGGCACAGTCACATAGTTTGCCCCTGCCCACCCCTGCAGAAGCAAAGAAAACAGTTCCCAAACCATCAGAACATGCACCTTTAACAGGATAAATACACAGTAAATTAACCAAATAACTATTTCATTTGAAAAATCAGTCATACTGGAAAAGCACCCACACACCCATACAAAATTTGGGAGGGATTAAAAAAATACAGCCCCCACTCCCCAAAACCAAGAAAAGCAAGCAAATAAAGACAAAAACAAAACAAAACAAAAACAATCAAAGTACCTCCCCAACCAAAACTACATGAATTTGGGGAGATTTTTCTTCTCCCATCACTTGATGACTTCTCTCCACAAGCCACAAGCAGACAGGCCAGGCAGTCAGCAGAAGAACTAATCTTCCCATGGGGGAAAAGAAGTCCCCCCAAAAAACAAGGAAAAAAGGGCAACAAGGCAAAGATCCAAAATGGAGGAACACCAGGCAGACAGCAATCCAATGTAGAGGGTACCAAGAACTCAGAACTCAGTAATCCCATCTACGAGGAACAACTGAAGAACAACAAATTGTTCCTCACTGGCTTCCATGCCCTTCTACAGATTCAGAATTCCCAGCTGTTCTGATTAGTTGCTGACAGCCCTTGTACCAATGCTAATGTAAGAAAAATTTCTTAGCCAATTTCATAGAGTAAGGGTAAAATAAAGGTTTCACGAACAAAGGAGCATGAAAGAAATACAACACTTTTCAGTACCCTTTTTTTCATAAATTTGGATCCCTTGTGTTTTCTGTGCTCTCTTTTGACAATAGATGGAAGAATACAACCTGTACAAAACAGAGCCTCTTTCCTGTTTTTTGTTTTTCATTAAAAAATGAAAAGCCCATCCCACTGTAGGCAATTCCATCATACTGGATTCTGCGAAAAGGATCTTCTGACACCAATTGACTTCATATTTTTATATCGCCTGCACCCATTCTCTTATTGGATGTTGTTCTTGTTGCTGTTGTATTGCACTCTTGTCTGTTATTCATTCAGTCATTGATTCAATAATTATTCATTTAATTATTATCCATCTTGGTTTTCTTTCTCTCAAAACTCTATGAGAAAAGCACGGTAAAATAAAATAATAAAATGTGTTTGTTATCTTTTAAAAACAAAACACAGCGCATCGCACAGCAATCCAAACAGATAAATTATCCCCTCCCCAACCATTTAGAAGCATTAGAGAATACAAGTGGGAGACCCTTTCTTACACTGTGTGCAACGGCCAACATACGACTTGAAGCAGTATTAATTCATGGAAAAATTTGCTTCTCTTTGTTCATGGATAAAAGTGTTGTAGGAACAAAGTATGAGCAAAAAGAAAGAAGAAAAAAGGAGGCTCCATTGTGATTATATTTTGAACTGCCAATTGTATTGGGGGTATCCATCAGTCTTCTAATGTATCTATGAAAGCTTCTGGGAAACTGTGAGCATTTCTGGTAGGGAGGGCAGAAAGTAAATAGAAGAGGAGTAATAAAACCACACATAATCAGTTGAGCTGCTATTAATAAGAGAAGCCAGTCATTGAAACATGCCTGCAGCACAGTCCTCTGCTTGAGCTTTTAACCTGCTCCTGGTTCTGTTTCATCTTCCTGCTGCTACTACTGCTGCTATAGCAATAAACTTTCATATTCTTGGGCCTGAGCAACTGGCATATGCTCCCTGGAGTGTATATGTCAGAAGAGGCTGGTGTGACAGATGGCAGGAAAGGAAGCATCCCATTTTCAACATGCCAGAATATGCACATTTATTACAATATTTTTCTCTAAAGGAAGAAAATAATGTAGGGGATTAATTTCAGGGAGGGGAGGTACTGCCTCTTAGGAGCAGATGCAAACCTGTCTTCAGTTCCCTATGCTTTAACTATGAAAAAACAACAACAAAAGACTTGTACAGTACATTACTGTCTTTAGGCAAAGCAAAAATATTTACTCTGGCAACTCTTACTCAGGCTGCTTTTGCAGAGTGTAGCATTGTATGAAAGGTGGATAGCAATGACATATTTTTAAAATCTGTGTTTTCCCTTCCCCAGTATATAATTAATTGCCTTGGAGTAGACAACGACATAAGGAAATACAAATTTCTACCAGCCTTGTTAATTCTAATCTGCCCAAAATGGGTCACCAACCAAATACAACAGCAACACCGAAAACATTATAAAGTATTCTCAGTTTAGTCCTGTGCATGTTTACTCAGAAGCAAGACTTTCTGTTTTCAGTGGTACTGATGTATGGATAAATTCATTCATTCATTCATTCATTCATTCATTCATTCATTCATACATACATACATACATACATACATACATACATACATACATACATACATACATACATACATACATACATACATACATACATACATACATAGGCTATCGGGCCAAATAGACCACTCTAGGCAATTTAGAATCAAGAGGCTGACAAAGCAAAACAGTTCCAATGAAAATGAGGAATATTATGTAGTTCTTCTTTGATCACATATGGGCAGTATTAACTATCCCATGAAATTTTGAAATATTTTTGGTTTTCATTCAAAGTATGTCACATTTTCTTTTTAGAAATGATCCGAGAACGTTCGGGTTGTAGAATGGAGTAATCCCTATGAAAGCACCTGTTACACTGCCAACGATGATCATGTCCAGCTGGCAGTGTCAATGAGGCAGCCATCATTGCTGCTTAGTAGTGGTTGCAGCTGGACAGCATGGCTGCTCTGAGTAGATGCAAACTGAAGGGCTGTCAGGGAAGGGTACAGAATACAGCAGAACAGAATGGGTGTTAAAAGGTCTCTGACTTTTTGCCTGGAGTAGCATCCTTATTTTGACGTTAGCTGGGAATTCTAAAAGGTGAGAATGTTGTGATGGACCTTCTGCTTTAAAACAAGGTCTGTGGGCTCAGGACTGACAATAACGGGAACTTGGGAACCAAAGGGGGACATGCTTAGAGAACAACCAAGTTACAGCTGGCAAGCAATCTAATTTTACACTTGGAATGAACATCATTGTAACATATGTAGTCTGTGCCAACCAAGTGAAATAGTGTATGTTCATAATCATACATTCTAAGCTGACGATGGGTGACTTCTACTGACCACATGCACCTTTTTTTTGGAAGTGGGGGGAGTGGGCTGGCCTACTACCAAAATTCTAGAAAGGGGAGAGAAATCTAAGGTTTTCTACCTTATCTCTTCCTGTAGCTAGCTTTTACACTTGGAATGAACATCATTGTAACCTATGTGGTCTGTGCCAACCAAGTGAATTAGTGTATGTTCGTAATCATACATTCTAAGCTGGCAATGGGTGACTTCTACTGACCACATACACCTTTTTTTTTTTTTTTTTTTGGAAGTGGGGGGAGTTGGGCTGGCCTACTACCAAAATTCTAGAAAGGGGAGCGAAATGTAACGTTTTCTACCTTATCTCTTCCTGTAGCTAGCATGCCACAGCAGTGTATGCCTTGCATAATGAGAAGAGAAAATTGAATTGGGGATGACTTAAAAGAGAAAAGAGAATTTTTTTTCTGTCTTGAATTCTAATGAGCCAATCAAATGCCTTGCAATTTGCACTTCTGGAGATGTGAAAGCTTCCTGAGTTTTTTTTTCCTTCTTCCCTCATAGCCATTGCATTGCTTGAAGAAGGGCTACCAGCACATCTCACCATGTGCTAAGGGGTGGACAATGAGTAATACTTGAAAATAAAGAAAAATCATAGTGCTGTAAGTCTGGGTAGGGATAATGAGCGAAAGGTTACAGCATGTATTACTGTGCAGACATAATGAGTTAAATTAGCATTCTTAGTCTTATTCTAATAGATTCTTTTAACTGTATAATTTGCTGAATGTGGTTTTTGAGTCAGATTTTTAAACAATACAGGGGGAAAGCTGTATAGTTCTTGTACACAAAGCAAGAATGGGTGATACCTTCATTAGACCACTAAGATCTAACAAATGCTTCCTACCTTTCAAGTCCTATAGGATTCTTTATCAGGCTCAGCATTACAGAGCTATAGACATGTAGGAGAAATGTCCTCAAAATCATGGCCAGATTTAGGGCTCAATTCTTATACTGTATAAAGTAAGTTCCAAAATGACAGCTGCAACTCTTCAGCTTGAGGTGCCTGGTTTCACCTCAGATAATGTAGGCTGCTGAGTGATTTGCAGCTCTCTGTTTAATGAGATTGGGAAGGACAATGAAATTTACATAATTTGAGGTAAATTGTACAACCTGCTACCTTGAACTGGCTCTGCAATGCTGCAGCCACCATTTTGAAACTTGTTTTAAAGAAGAAAACCTTCTACCCATGTATCCCTGCATACTGTTTCCGATACTGAAGATAATATGTGCCTATCAGGACCACTAGCTACTGGGTGCCTTATATTGCTGTGCCAGAACTGTGGGTAAAAAAACTGCAGGAACGCCACACATTTCCTGCTAGATTATACAATTACAGAGGATTTTGTAATGGGAATCATGTATGTGAGGATAAGTTGCTGTGTAATGGGGACCTAAGCTGTCATGAAAAATAAAACATGGCACTTCAAAGGGGGGAAAAATCTAGCACTTCTTCATAATAACTTTTGAAGAGTTTTCTCCAAGTTATAGCACCCAGAAAGGAAGCCACAGGCTGAAGTTTGTGAGATCTGAGCAGTGCTGTTAACGGAGCCTTTCAAAGGTCACTAATTCCCAGTGTCATCGTAAGCTGGAAGTGACTTGAACGCACATAACAACAGCAGCAACAACAACAAAAAATCAAACTATAAGACAAACATAGCTTGCATCAATAAATATCATTGTATTTACTCTGCTCCATTTCTCCTAGGATCTGGAGGCTGGTCCCCCTTGGATTCTAGCAGAGAACAGTGGCTCCAGATTGACTTGGGAGATAGAGTGGAGATTACAGGTGTTGCGACTCAAGGACGATATGGAAGTTCAGACTGGACAACAAGCTACATTCTAATGTTCAGCGATACAGGTCGCAATTGGAAGCAGTATCGAGAGGAAGACATCATCTGGGTAGGTTTCAACCTTTTCAGTTAATAGTGGTAATGCCACCAAGGTTGTGGCTTCTAAGTCCAAATGAGTTTTTCCCCTTCGAGAAACAAGGGGGAGGAGAGGTGCAAAGGAAACTTTTCTCCATGTGTGATAACTCTATATAGCTTCCAAGCTTCAATAGGAATAATAATCCATGTTGTCAGAATCTTACATAAGTTTGTTTCAAGTGATCTATACATACATAAAAAATCAAGGAATGTGCTCAGTATTTTGTATCAAAGAGCTCAAAACCAGACAACAGATAGAAATCATATCCTAATATGCAATTTGCTGTGTTATGGGTGGCCTATATTTTTGTGGAGCTCACAGATGTATAGTCCTTTATTGCGCCACTTCACAGACAAGTTCTATAAAAATTCCATGTTGTGTTTTGGGTGATCCAAGCAACAATGAAAAAAAAATCATTCAAGTGGATCAGCCAAGACGTTTGTGGCCCATGGGAGCACTCCACATGTATCAGGACCTCAGAAATTCAGGGCCGTGTCACACACACAGTCCATAAAGACCAGAACTCTCCCTCTTCTGACTCATCATGCCCCCCCACCTCCGGAGAATGAACAAACCAGGGATGAAAGGGAAAGGGGTTAGAACAAGGCTAAATATAATAGAATATTATTTTATTTATTCTATCTATTTTATTTCGTTATGTGCTTATGTCATTCTTTAAAATTGCTACATGTATTTTAGCAGGGAAATCCTAAAACCTCTACTATTTAAAAAATAAATCAAAAACAGCAGGGAAGAAAGAAACTAAATCATACCAACAAGATAAAAAAAAAATAATAAAGATCAAGATGGAAAAAGATTTTAACCTTACACTTAGAAGGCATAAGAGTAGACACTGGCCAGACTTTCCTAGGGAGGGAGTTGAGGGCTTCAGCTGGTGCACTGTGCTAGTTATATTGATTGCTATTGTGTTCCTGTGCTTACTTGATTAGTTTTAAAGCCCTAACTTGCTTGGGTGCAGATTGTCTGAATGACTACCAGGCTTTGTATGAATCTGCCCAAATGGCTTGTTGTGTACTTGCTTACATGCTTCCTGTGGCAGTTCAATACTTTTTATATCTTGTATGTAGATATGCATAGGAAAGTATGCTAGGAGAGTCTTAAAACCAGTGGGGTGGGGAATGGAATGTATGTGAATGGATCTGTTTTTTTGGTTGATTGCTATGCCGCCTGGCTAATGAGATACTGGTCTATTTATATGTCCATGTAAGATGAAGTTCAGTTCAGTTTTATCTGTGTTTAGTTCTTTTTAGAAGCTGTCAAGTTGATGAGACACAGTTTTGTTTTGGGTTAGACTGACACCTGGGGTGAAGATTGAGAGCTGTGGAAGGTGTGCTATTCTGAAAAAGACATGGAGATGTGTGTGTTTTCATTCAAAGTGTATAAAAGCAAGAATCTGACAGATTTAAAGAATTAAATGTACTTAAGTTGCAAAGAAAGAAAGAAAGGGATAAGGTACTTGAGTAGAGATGAGCACAGATCAGAAAAATGGTGATTAGTATTGAATATGAATTTATAATTTTTCCTGACGAATCGACCGATGGATTTGTAAATTTGATTTTTTACTTCAAACCCTATAAAATTGCCCCCAAGCACCCAGAGACACCAAATTTGTGGAGAAGCTTCCCCCGTCTCTCCTCTAAAAGCCCTGCAAGTTTGGTGAAATTTGAGTTTCAGAAGTCCAGGTTATACACCCATAAGACCTCCCCCAAAAAAGTCCCTCCAGGCACCTAGAAATACGAAAATCACACAAAAAAACTTCCCATGACTCTCCTCTACAATCCCTCCAAATTTGCGGAAGATTGGGTTTCAAACACCCAAGTTATATACCTACAAAATGGGTCTCCCCAGAAAAGTGCCCTTTAACAGCTGGCTGGGAGAAACCAAGCTTTTTGAAATGCCAGCGTTGAGCACATCATGCTGTCTAGAGTAAAGGGGGGAGTGGAGTATCAGCATTGCAACTCATGAGCCTTCTTGTTGCACAGGCCCTGGCACCAGCACTGCAAAGCCTTCTGTGACATCACAGGAACCTGTAATCTGGTCTCCAGTTTTTGCCTGAATTCTCAGGAAATAAGATTCTGGTGATCTGGCAACTCTCTATTCCTGAGTAGTTCCTTCCTCCAAAGCAGCCTCTTAGTGTTATCGTTTCTGCCATCACTGGATATTGCATCACCCCCAAAAATTTGTACTTTGCAGTGGATTTCAAATCAGATCTCCCCTCTCAAACACTAGAGAACATTGGTCCTTCTCTGCTCTGTTGCTAGTATCAAAATTCAATCTTCCGCTGTGTTTCTAGTACCACAGCTTGACCTGTCAGCATTTCTTTGTATTGGTCAACATTCTTGAAAGCACCTACTTGCAACTGTAATTGCTGGAAGATAGTGTAATTCTAGCTGTTTAGATGCTATCAGGTGAACAATGAAATCTCATCATGGGGGAAGAGGTAATAAAATGCTACACACACGTATATATACACACATATGGATGGAGTCCAGGAAAAGTTACACCTCTGAGTGATTCTGTAACACGGTGTGATTCCTTTTTTCTATTACTGCTCACCATAGGAATAGATAGCCTGCAGATAATTGCAATTTCTGCTAATGCTGACAATGGTAAAATAAACTTTGTACAGGGAACACAGTTTTAGAACAGTAAGGTGGGCAAAGAGGGGAAAGTTATCAAACCTCTCCCTGCCCCTTGGCCACCCTGATTTATGATTGCCTAGATTATGGAGCACCTGAAAGTGGGAAGAGAGGATCAAGAAGAACAGACAACTAACCAACCAACAAAAAAGCCAGAGCATGCTAAACCTACCCTTTGGGTGGAAATAGCTATTTGTGCCACTGGCTTTCTTGGAAGAAAGAAGAATGAAAGACTTGCCAGACTTTTGTGCTTCTAGACTATCCTTTTAGGATGCTATAGTGAGAGAATTCATACAGCAAACTTTCAGCCTGAAGAGAAGCTTGGCATAGCTCTTTAGGAGCTCTCCACCCCAATTGATAGATAGCAGAGCAGCAGCTAGACTGGAAGTCGATGCACAAGGAAATTGTAGGTGTTCCCTCCTCCGTTTCTCTCTTTTCTGATTGTCTTCCTCCTTCTTCAACTTTTTCAAGTAGGGAAGAGCCTAGAAGTGTCAATGAAGCAAAACAAGAGCCTGCTATCATTATGAACCACTAT